TCTTTCTTTCCTTTGTTGTTTTGTATATCTAATAAATGATATCACTAATTATGTTTGAAGATGAACAACATTGCTAAAGTAACATACATAATAATGGTAATAGTAACTAAAACAACAAAGATGATGGTAATGATGATAATTAGCATTAGCATTACTAAAAATAATGGTAGAGATGGTAGTAATGCTTCTAATACTATTACAATTACTACTTCTGATAGTTCTAAAAGTACAGCTACTATTAGTACTACTACTTTTATCGATGATAATGATGTTAGTAATACCAGTGCTGGTGATAATGATATCAACAACAATAACAAAAGTGTTAAAAATTACAACAATGGTAATAATAATGATAATGGCAGCGATAATGATAACAATAGCAGTAATGATAATAACATTAACAATAACAACAACAATAATACAGTATAAACAACAATAATAATAACAATGATGATGATAATAATTGTAGCATTATCTTTAACATTAATATTGACATTGATATCAATATCTATATTATCAGAGTCTAAACTATTGTTATTATTATCAATATTTTCATATTCATTTAGTATCATTTTCATTATTGGCAAATTGACATCTTATCATGATATACTTCAAAATTACCGCCATCATTACTATTGACAACGCTATCATCATTCTGACACAATGAGAACAACCGCATATAGAAACACCATCATCTTCTCCGGAATCCTCTTGTTTGTCCTCTTGTTATTAGCCACCACACGGATGTCCTCTTAGGATCAGCTTCCAAACAGTTGTCTCTCGGAATCGAACGCAACAATTGTCAGCATGAAATCAGTCACTGAAGACGTGTTTTCTTAAAATCAGTCGCCAATTACTTGTCTCTTTGGAATTAGCCATCAAATAACTCCTCTTAGAATAAATCAACAAAATATCATCCTTTAGGTTTTGGTCTACCAAAAATGGTCTAAATATTTTCTTCGAAACAATCACCAAAAATCGTGCTTTAGGTCTTGGTTACCAAAAATGGTCTCTTGGACTCGGTCACACTAGATATGCTTTTAGAATAAATAATTAAAAGTCGTGCTTTAGGTTTGGCTAACAAAAAAACAGTCCCTTAGGTTTGGCTAACAAAAAAACAGTCCCTTGAACTGGGTCACCAAATAACTGTCCTCTTAGAATCAGAACTGGTTAACTGTCCTCAATCAGAACTGTCCTCTGAATTCACCACTGTCCTCTTAAAAACAGTCACAAAATAACTGTCCTCTTAAAAACAGTCACCAAATAACTGTCCTCTTAGAATCAGTCACTAAATAAATATCTATCTCAGAATCAATCACCTCCTAGAACCAGTTACCAAACAGCTGCTACCTTAGAGCAGTTGCTCTTAAACTAGAGTAAGGGATTCAGTTTCCAAAAGTATGCGTGCGTGCCCGATGAGAAAAAAGAGGAACTTCACATATTATTTCCGGAACTTGAACACGAGTTATAACAGAGATACTTGTGTAAAATTCTTTGTTCTCTTCTGATTCAGAAGGAATCGGCCAAACAATTTTCCTTCTAGAATCAGCTACCGAACAACTGTCACCAAAGAATCAGCCAGTAAAGAATTATCCTCAACAACAAACAGCTATCTTCTTAGAATCAACCACTAAAAACAGCTATCGTCTTCGACCTCTTAGAACTAACCACCAACCAACTACCCTCTTAGAATCAACCCAGTAATTCTCCTCTTAGAATCAACCACCAAACTATCCTCTTAGAACCAACCCCCAAACAACTGTCCTCTTAGACCTACCACCAAACAACTACCAAACCCAGTAATTCTCCTTAGAAACCACCAAACTATCCTCTTAGAACCAACCCCAAACAACTGTCCTCTTTAGAACCAACCAACTACCCTCTTAGAATCAACCCAGAGAATCAACCACCAAACTATCCTCTTAGAACCAACCCCCAAACAACTGTCCTCTTAGACCAACCACCAAACAACTACCCTCTTAGAATCAACCCAGTAATTCTCCTCTTAGAATCAACCACCAAACTATCCTCTTAGAACCAACCCCCAAACAACTGTCCTCTTAGACCAACCACCAACCAACTACCCTCTTAGAATCAACCAGTAATTCTCCTCTTAGAATCAACCACCAAACTATCCTCTTAGAACCAACCCCCAAACAACTGTCCTCTTAGACCTACCACCAAACAACTACCCACTTAGAATCAACCAAATAATTCTCCTCTTAGACCAACCACCAAACAACTACCCACTTAGAATCAACCCAGTAATTCTCCTCTTAGACCAACCACCAAACTATCCTCTTAGAACCAACCCCCAAACAACTGTCCTCTTAGACCAACCACCAAACAACTACCCTCTTAGAATCAACCCAGTAATTCTCCTCTTAGAATCAACCACCAAACTATCCTCTTAGAACCAACCCCCAAACAACTGTCCTCTTAGACCAACCACCAAACAACTACCCTCTTAGAATCAACCCAATTCTCTCTTAGAATCACC